CAGATACGTCGATTCAATGTGACTACTTGATTACTTGCTATAAGTTCGTAATCAGTTCGGTTTTTCTGTATTAATCTCTGTGCCATATCTGGAGGATGTTTTATCCACCTTCTTCACCAGGCTGATTCTTCATTTCTGCAACAGCTCCGCTGAGCAATCAATGCTAATTTTCTTTATCCATGTCTCCATTCTATTAGTTATCGTACCAAGTGCATCAATACTAACTAGTATGACTGTGTCCGTCGTCAATTTTTGAAGCCTTCTCAATTCAAACTTCAACGGCTCATCGTTGATCTCTCTTCCTTTTGCTTTTGTATCAAAAGAAAACGATGGGTCAATATTTTTACCCTTCTTTTGTTTTCTAGTTTAGCTTCCATCAATACGCCCGGTTTGTTGTACTTCAGTTTCTTATCTGTTTGTATTGAAAAATCCCACAAAATCTTGCGAGTTTCTGGCTCAAGGACGTTCTCAGGTTTTTGATTGTACCATTCCTTTTCTCGCTGAAAATCACATTTCTCATACAACGCCCAATAAATGATTTTGGCAACTTGATCATGTCTCCACCTTTCATACTTATATTGTTGTTGTTATTATTATTATTATTATTATAGGCACGGATATCTTTATTTACTTTGCTTAAAAAACAAAATAAAGCAATGGATTGGATTACCGATAATTTCTATAACAACTGCTTGCACGCTTCCGATGGTTTCCATAACAACGGTCCATTTTTTTCTTTTGTATCGCTTTTCTTTACAGGAAAGGAAAACTTGATCTGTTATCCAACCGTTGTAAAATTGTTTATCATTTTATGTTTATTATTTTATTTTGCTGAACAGTTGGCCTTTTGAACTGGATTAGAGGTTTATCCTTTCTTTTCTGTTTAGGATTGCGTTTCCAATTCCTTCTAAATTCTATTTCAAGTCTACACTTTTAACGTCCCCGCCTAAACTCTGAAATTTCCAGTTTCTTTTAAAGTCTTTCCCTTTTCTTTCACTTACAGTAGTCCCATTGTATCCTAGTGGTCTTATTGCCTTGCTTGGGGTGAATTGATTAAAAAGAAAACTTTGACTAAATCGAAAATTTCCTAAGTTCGATAGAAATGGGGACTTCAGTTGCACAAAGTTTTCACTGAGAAGAGGACATTATGCAGGAGTACTATGTTTTGCATTGCGTAAAGTTTTGGTAAGAATATCATTTGGATTTTTCAGGTTGTCTTTACCATAGTCTAGGGTTTAGCAGACATTCTTTCGTCTTTCAACAACTTGTCATTGTATGTCAATAAGACATTGAATAAAATGCTCGGTCTGCTGCTAAGAAAATTGGTTCTCTGTGTCGTGCAAGACAATTTTTCTCGTAAGAATCTTACACATTTATAAATCTACCATTAGTCCGTGTATTGAATATTGCTGCCATATCTGGTCGCCTCGTTATATATTTCGAGAGTCTCGACAAAATGCAAATAAGGGTCTGTGATGTTATATGTGATCTGGCATCTCGACTTCAGTTACTTTTCCACAAAAATGACGTGGCTTCCCTCTGTCATTTCCATAAAGATTTTCATGGCAGTTGTTCTAATGAACTCTCCTCTTTGTCACACAGTTCACATGAATTTAAGCGTACAGCTCGGTCTCGTCGTTTTAGTATTGAAATAGCTAGATCTAACCGTAAGTTCTATTCTAGCGGTTTCTTTGCATGCACTTCTCGCCTGTGGAAATATCTTTCGGTTTCTTCCTTCTCTAACATCTTCAAGTATTTTTTTAATCGTCAGCATGGGTCTTCCTGATTTCTTTTCTTTTATTGACCTTTCACATCACTAAAGTCTTCTCATTCTCTTTTACATTCTTAACCCCCTTGCGTCTTGGTGGCATTATTGGCTTGCTTGGGGTGAAATGATTAAAGAGAAAGAGAGAGAGAGAGTAAGTGAGAGAGACAGACAGAGAGAATGTGACAGTTACTTTATTTTAAAGTAATTTTCCAAGTGTAGCACAAGGCCGAAAGTATGGGGCAATAATCATGGGCAGTCGTAATTGTTCTAGCAAGACAAGCTTGTTAACCATTACGCCACGTCGAGGTGCCCCAGTTACTTTATTTTAAATGAGCAAAGCTTTGGTTAAATGCGTGCTCGGTTAAGCTCAATGTAACTATGCGTTTGAGCAACAAGGATGAAGCAATTAATCATTTCAAGTCTTAAAAACATTTATTTAAATATATTACTCTTCCTATTTCAGTCAGTGTAATGTAATCCATTCTCTCTCTCTCTCCGCCTTTCTCTTTCTCTCTCACGCTATATATACATACATACATATATATATATATATATATATATATATATATATATATATATGATCTTCCACAAATGAACACTAATGATACGTTTTTGCCAGCTAAACAATTTTTCCTTTCTGAATACGGTGTTGATCGATGAAGGTTCATGGTCGTGTAGCCATCAATATATATATATATATATATATATATATATGTGTGTGTATATATATATATATATATATATATATATATATATATATATATATATATATATATATATATATATATATATAAGTTTCGTTTAAAACGATAAAATTGGTGTAGTTAAGTTTTTATATAATTTTTCATGTGTTCTTATTTTTTTCTTTTCCGGAGATAAATTATATAAAAAAATTGTCCGAATGTTTCATATATCCAAGTGCTTAAATTTATAATAATTATATCATATAATAAACTAAACCATATATATATATATATATATATATATATATATATATATATATATATATATATATATATATATATATATGGCCTTGAATATGCATTTGTATATGCCTGATCTGGGTTTATTACTACTCTACGTGTGTGGTGTGTCATTCTCAATGAAATACAGAAGTAAAAAAACAAACGAACAAACACGTAAAATGCCACCAGCATTTGTGGTGTCTGTCAGTCAGGACTTTTCTCTCTAAGCCTGCTGTTCAACAGTTTTCTTTACAGTCCGCCCGTTTCTGCTCATTTCTATGGGGGAAATTAATATGCAACTGCAATATTTCTCTAAAGAGGGCGTTTGTGAAAACCAACGACACACACATACATGCATATATATATATATATATATATATATATATATATATATATATATATATATATATATATATATATATATATATAGGAGGTTGCTGAAATGTTCTACACCCCCTCAGGAAGAAGGCAATGACCTCGAGTCACAAGACAAAATGACGTTACGACTCGAAACGCTTTTCTTACAAATTTGAAAATACGTCCTCGTCCCAAAAAATATAACTTTACTGCAGCTAATAAATAAGAATTGAAAAAAGAATAAAATTATTGGCAAATGTAACAATATTGTATTCTTGATAGAATCAATAAGTATAAATTATCCTTAGATGTATTTTATTCGCCGGAATATTTCGTGATATGCGAATATTTTGAAAGACGATCCTCAGAATCTGTCTAGCTATATATATATAGGCTATTCATTTCATATCTATCAAGTATTCTCTCCATATCAATCTATCTGCTATTCTGTTTATATCTATCTATCTGTCTATCTATCTATCTATCTATTTGCTATTCTGTTTATATGTATGTATGTATCTATCTATCTATCTATCTATTTATCTACTTACTCTGTTCTATGTATTTATCTTTCTTTTCTGTTCGTATTTATATCAATCTATTCATGTCTATCTCACTGTTCCTATCTATCGGTTTATATATGTATCTGTCTGTGCATCTAAGTCTGTCCCAATGTCAGTATGTTCTCAATCCAATAGATAAGGAAAAGCAATTATCTATCTATCAGGTCATCCCATAAGTTCTGTCCGCATTTTAACTTTTTGTTAAAATGAACGAAATTTAAAGAGTGTTTTATAATGTCTAATGGAGCTGAACATTATTTTTATGTTTAGATGCATTTAAACTGATCAAATTTTATTTCAGAGAACAATAAAATTAAATTTTGTTTGATTAAAACCCTGCTAACATGGAAGTACCCAAGAATCATTTGAGGCACATAATGCTTTATGAGTTCATGAAAGGAAACTCGGCAGCCGGTTCTTCTTTCAATCTGGTGGCATCGCCAAGGAATAATCCACTTTGAATTCTTACCACCTAATGCAACAATTAATACTCAAATATACTGTCAGCAATTAGAGCGTTTGAACCAAGCTTTGAGGAAAAAAAGACCTGCTCTAATGAATCGAAAAGAGGTGATGTTTCATCAGGACAATGCGCGACCCCACACAGCAAGAATCACGTCACAAAAGATCGAAGAACTTGGTTGGGAGAAAATTCCCCATCCACCTTATTCTCCCGATCTTGCTCCTTCAGACTACCATTTGTTTCGTAGCTTACAGAATCATTTGGAAGAAACAGCTTTTTGTAAACACAGGAAGAGGTTAAAACTGACATTTGTGAGTTCTTCGAATCAAAGCCAAAATAATTTTACAGTAATGGAATTACTAAGCTTGTTAATAAATGGAAGGAAGTCATAGATAATCAGGGAAAATACATTGTTGATTGAATCTGTAATTAAATGTAACATTTGGTCACTCATTTTCTTTATTCAAAATTCGGACAGAACTTATGGGATGACCTGATATCTATCTATCTATCTATCTATCTATCTATCTGTCTGTCTGTCTGTCTATCTGCGTGTCATTTTCTTTGCTCGATTTCATTATTATAAATAAATAAAATTACATCACATCCAAGATTTCTGGTGTTACTCGCTAGAAAGAAAACGGTGGCAAATCTCTGTAAATCTTTAGCATTTTCTTCAGGATTCTCGCTAACTTCAGGTGTTCTGATCTGTGTCGTTTCGGTTCCTCCTCGGACCTGTTTTTTCCGGTCTTTCTCCAGTAATTACAAGTACTACCGCCATTGCCATATTCCACACGAGCAAGATAATCAAAATCATTCTTCTTATGAGCTGTCTTATAGTCATTATTATTGTTGTTGTTGTTGCTGGTGCTGTTGTTGCTCTTTGACAAAGAACAACAACAACAATAATAATAATGATATAAAATGCTAACAGAGACGCTGGGGTACAAATATACAAAACCCAAGTGATATAATTGTCAAGAACACTCCACTCTCATCGTCGTCATTAATGAACTGTATCCCCTCAGGATGTAGGGGGATCATGTCTCTCCCCAACTCCATACGAACCCTTCTTGCTACCTATTCACGCAAACATAGTGGTTAAGTTAATCGCTGTTCCCCTCGTCCATGTGAGTATTAAATTCTCCAAGCTCTCCTTCCTCATGGTGCGTACTTGTGTCTGATTTTTGTATGATTGTCTTTCTAGTGTCTACTTTCTTTAGAACTTCTCCATTGCTCAAATGTTCTGTGCATAATATTCTTAGATTGCGTCTATGGAACCATATTTCTGTTGCTTTGAGCCTGTTTGCAATCTGTAAGGAAATTGTCCGACATTCACTGCCATGCAGCATAATATGACATAAAAATGCACCGATTTTCTCAAAAGGAATTATTTCGATATAACAGTGATTCGTTTTTACTTTTCTTCCACTGAAGTTTTCAATGTTCAGAAAAAAAGATTTGCTTTTAAATATTTTGTCTTTGAAATGACATATTGCTTATTGTTGTTTTTGTGTGAATCTGAATAAAACATCGAATATACGAGCAATTTCCTCGCCACATCTTAATTATCATATTCTAAAGACAGGAGCGACGGAGAGATGAAGATTTTAGAGTTATAAGGATAAAACAGAAAACTGATTATCTATTAACGATTTGCAATGATCTCGTTTAAGATGGCAAAGTTTAGAAGCAATTATACCGCTAAAAGATTCCGAATAAAAATAAAAATGCAGCCACTAAGAAACAAATTATTCTGATATATTATTTTTCCTTTGATTTCCGTTGTATATTCAACTCCCTGTATCCCAACCAGAGACCTAAAGTTAGAAATAGCATCATAACAATTTCTACTGCACATTGGTGTAAAAAAGCAATAACCTACAAATACATATATATATATATATTATTTAAATCCCTTTGTAGGGTGTGAGATGTGTATGTAAGACATGGGCTACAAGGGATTCCTTGACTGACTTTCTCAGACCCTTCTCCAAACAAATCCAAGGTCTCAACTACAACTGGAAATAGGATGTCTTCATTCGCCACATTTTTTAAATAATAATAATTTTACGCTAATGGCTGGAGGATCTAGGATGGTTAGCTAATCCCTATTGCAGACGTTTGCTCAGGTGCATTTTGTGTTTGTTCAACACCCACAGAGCCCACCTGTGGTTTATACTGCAACTATGCTGAGCAGACCTTAGTTAGAGTTTCTGGGCGGTAAGCGTGTTCGACAATCTGAACAAGGCCAGCACACTCAAACCCTCGGTCACGATGACTTGTGACTTCGTGCTAATACAGGCATCAACTCCGTGCTAGCAAAGCCATCATTCCGTCTACCTAATTTCTCTCACACGGCTTGGTTCAACCTGTGGTATGCTTTTCAGGCACTTTTTAAAGGTGCCGCACGCCTCAGTTCGATGACATCAAGAAGTAATCGACCATGGTGAGATTCAAGAAAGTTCTAACCACTCGGCCACAGATAATAATAATAATAATAATAATAATAATAATTATTATTATTATTATTATTATTATAAAGCACATCTATCTATCTCAGTCAGTCCGTATCTACTCATATCGCTCTGTATATATATATATATATATATATATATATATAATTTCAGTCGGGTCATATATACGCATAACGCTCTGTTCGTATCTGTCTATCTACCTATCTACAACCCTTTTCCTAGAAAAGTATGCCTTTTGGTTCTGACTGTTGACTTTTGGGGTAGCCTGTCCTCGTTCCACTGCGCACCTATCTCGTCTAGTTCTTATTTACTGTGTTGCTGAGTAATTGCTCGTCCCGTTTCCGCTGACTCTAAGTACACACTGCCTGGACCAGGTATTGAAACCCCGTCGATGAAATAAAGTCACCTGTTCATAATTCGCTGTAGGTTACCCAGATCTGATGAAGCAACGGAAAGTACAACGGCCGAAACGTTTTGATAGCAACAGCAAAGATGAAGACAATAGTCCGAATGTAAATAATGTAAACAAAGATAACTCCTCATCTCAGAAATTCAGACAGAAACAATGTCCAAGCATCTGAATAAAGAGTTGAGCAGCGCATGGACAAAGAAATGAACGACGATTGTGTCTTGCTGGTATTTTGAACCAATCAATCTTTTAGAAGATTGGCTGCAAGGGTGAACTTACTGGTGTATGGAATTTTCATTTGATAATACCAACCAGTCTATAGGCATAAGGCCAATTCTTCTTTTGGTGATAAGAATGAGACTGGTTATATTCGAGCCAATTAGTGGGGATTTAGGTCTTTGTATAGTCTTATTCCATATGGCCAATGCATTCGTGTACACGGTTTCCAGAGATAAGTGTACTTAAACAATTTTTCTATACAACAAAGCGAGACGTTATGTTTCTTTGTTTTCCGGTGCTTGTATTTTTGCAATTTAAATTAATGAAAAAAAAAATCTTTTTTTTTTTTTTTCGTTTTTTTCTCTTTGTTTGAAAACAAACTTCCGCTTCGGAAGGGAACTTACATAAGAGTGTATGCGTCTTTCCAATCCCAGCAACAACACTCAAGTACTTTTTTTTCTCTTTCTCTCTCTCTCTCTCTCTCTCACTCTCTCGTTTGGTCTCTGTTACTCTCTTTCTCCCTTTCTCTCTTTCTGTCTGGTATCCTCCATTTTTTTTGCTTACATACACGCACCTCTTTTTTTAAAAATTTTTTTTTACTTTTTTGTCAGGCGCAAAAAAATGGCCGAATAAACACAGCCGTCAGCGACGCCAGATGAAACTGCACGCGACTGCCGCAAAAATAAAAAAAAATCGCCTTCCTCTACTCTCGGGTTTATAACAATCGTACCCGACCTATGCTTATTATTTTTTTATTTTTTTTTATTCAGATTATTTTCGTGGAAAGTTCCCAGAAAAAAAAAATTCTAAGAAAATGGTCATTTAGAATTGTGAAATTGATTTTCTTTTCTTCTTGTTCTTTTCTTCTTCTCTACCTCCTTCTCCTCCTCCTCCTTCTTCTTCACCTCCCTCTTCTTCTTCACCTCCCCCTTCTTCTTCACCTCCCCCTTCTTCTTCACCTCCTCCTCCTCCTCTTCCTCCTCCTCCTTCTTCTTCTTCTTCTATGTGCCGTGTCCCGTTAGGACGTGTTCGTTCATTGCTCTCTACAATTTGCTGTACTCTGTAGCTCTTAGTAAATTCTGTCTTTTTGCTATTTCTGATAAACCCTGATCTGGCAACCATTTACACGATCTCGTTAGGTAGGTTTATGTACAGCTTTCCTGTGTCCGTTTTCCCTTCACTATGTCCTGTGAGAGTCAAATTTTCTAAGCTCTCTTTGTAAACCTAATTTTTTGCTCCAGAAATTTCAACTGTCTTTTTCTGATTTTGCTTCTATTTTCTCAAAAGCCTCGTTGTTGCTAACATGCTCTGTCTATGGTATTATCAGCATCCCTTCTGATGCTTCAAATCTCTTCTTCATCGGTAAGGAGATTGTTCAGCGTTCACTGCCATATAGGAGCACTAATATTGCATAACAGTTCAGTACTCCTTCCCTTGTTTCTAACAAAATTTTCCTGTTTCTTAATATTTTGCTTAGCTTTTGGAAGGTACCTTTAGATATCCCAATGCACCTTCGGATTTCGGTGACGCAAATTAAACACCTCCCAGATATTTAAATTGTTGTACTTGCTTGAGTTTTTTTTATCTCCAATTTGTAATTCGCATGTTGTGCCTTTTTCTGAGAACTCACAGAAAGGAAACCATTATCATCACTAAACCATTATCGTCTCAAAAAAAATATCATAATTTAAAATTTCTGGTTTCAAATAAACCTTAGAAAACGGATCAATCAAAGGCATTTATGAAAAAGGACCAGGTCAGGATTAGAACTCGGTTCGCTGATTTCACAATCCACACCGATAGCATTACACTGCCAGCACAACTTTCTGGCGTTAAATAACCCGGAAAGGGTTGATAAAGAAAATAGAGAAATCTAAGATAGAAAAATCGTTGACTTACATTCTACTTTTTTTTCTTTTTTTTTTCAGACTCTCCATCTGCAAAGAAATTCGGGGAGGCCGCATCCTACAACGACCCGTACCTTGTGTTCGCAGTGAAACTCCTACACCCAACCAGTCCTTTCATGGAGACCATTATCCGGTCGGCGAAATTGGACGTCTTCAAGTATGGCACTCTGCCTGTCAACTCAAGCAACTCATCCTCACTTCCATCCTCAAACGCCCTAGTCACCGTCTACCACATTGCGGTTGACTCGAAAACCGGTGAGAAAACACGAACAGCCGTGGACTCCAAGATCGTCAATTTGCAAGAAAGCGGCTGGGAGACATTCGATATTGCGACGGCAGTCCAAACCTGGCTCGAGCGGCCAGATAGCGACGGCAACTTGAAGTTCGAGCTAGCCAGCTCGTTGCGGCCCACGGAACTGTACCAAATCCTGCACGTATCCCGGCTCAGGAAACGCTCGTTGCGTGAGCGGGAGCCACGTTTAAGCGTGAAAACATCGGAACGGTCGATATTAGGCAGGGCGAAGCGAGATGCCCACACGGGTGACTGCGTGAAAGGAGACGGGGAAAAACAGTGCTGTAGGTTTTCAGTTGAAATTAATTTTAAAGAAATTGATTGGCAGAATTGGGTAATAGCGCCCGAGTCGTTCAAGGCCTACTATTGTCAGGGAGAGTGCGGACACACCCGCATGGCCAATGACTGGGCGATGATCAAACGAGTAATACATCTGAAAGATCCTGAAAAGATGCCGGTCGATGTCTGTTGCACGCCGAATAAACTAAGTGACTTGTCCTTACTGCATTACACAGAGGAAGGGCAACTGGAACTGACTGATAAAAAAGACGTGGTTGTGCAGGACTGTCGGTGTAGATAAAGAACTTACATCAGAAAAGAATATATATATATATATATATATATGTCTGAACGTACTTACAAAGACAAATTACAAACACGTATATCTGAGCCAAAAAGGTGAAAAATATACAGAAACACAACTAATTTAAAAAGAAAAACAGATGGGATAATTACACACAAATCAATTATAAAATGTCAATGACATTTCTACAATAGTAAAATTACAACAGCTACAATATATGACTCGCTTAATTTACAAGCACGACCATATATACGTACACATACAAATGTGCTGACCATAAATGCATACATGCATACATATATACATACATTTTAAATTCATACCTGTCGACTGTTCCAAAGTTACACTCATTGTTAAATATTTAAGCCTATAAAATTAGAGGGGTATTTTTCCCTTCTGATGCACAAAAAAAAATCAAAGTACACTTGTATTTACTATTATATTTCATTCTACCATTTCTTTCCCAATCACCTCTACACACTGATGTGTTCCTTGAATATTGGTGGATAGGTGGAAAACGCAAGTACTCTCACAGGTACAGATATATCGGGACTACTTCAACACTACCAAACACAAATATTTACATTGTATATAAAGAGTTATGAGCAAGTAATGGAATTAATTTATCAGTATTTATGGTGATATATTTACTTACTGCTACGACTATAATAATAACAACAAACAAAGAAAAAAATGGAATCAAATAACCGTGGCATATCTTGACGTTAATTGTAAAGTGTACAAAACAAAAGAAAGGAAGAATGAATGAATGAGAAAGAGAGAAAGAAGTAATGAACGAAAGTACAAAAAAAGAAACAGGGAAATAAAAACGAAAAGAAATAAAGAAAAAAAGTAACTGAAACGCTATATTAAAATAAAAGACAAAAAAAAGAAAAGAAAAACGGACAAAATGCGACAAAAGAACGTTCGTATTGGTGATGAAGATAACTGGAGGGGGAATATTGATAGCTGAAGAGACGTTATGGAGAGAAATCCGTCGTTGGTGTCTACCTCTGGTCTCGGGCAGATTATATAATAACTTCTACATCTTGCTTTTCCTTCATTTTTTTTTTTTAATTTCTAAATTAGTTTTATTTATTTTTTCCTTCATCTTTCAACAGGTCTTTTATTCTCCTTAAAAAAAGAAAAAACAATACAGCAGCAAACAACAAAATATTTCTTAAAATTGCTTTGATTACACTAGCCATGTCCTAAAATAATACGACAGATGCATACGTTTTCAAATGATGCCCAAGAGAACAATGTATAATGTCATCATTATAAAGGCTAATTGGAACATACGATTAAATCTGTCATGCGTTAAATTATTGTGTATTCACCTCCGGACTTAATACTGGCGTATGTGGGGGTGTAGCTTGGAGGGATTTCCTTCTAACGTTGATTTTCTCGCTGGAATGTGACAAACTGTATATTTACTTATATAAAAATATATCAAATATAGCTCATAGCCAAAAGTTAGGAAATAGCGAGAGCTGGTCATCCATTGTCCTATCTTCATATTACCTGGTCACATTCACTGACCCAAGCATTCGATAATGATCCATTTTCACTACTCTCACTAGAATACTGCAAATTCTTTATGAAGTCCTAACTAGTCCCAGTTAGGGACACTTATGGTGGAATGGAACGGGGAATGAAGCTAACAACTTTTTAAAAATGTTGCCCAAATAAGTATTTATAATGTCCAAATTATATTTGAATCAACTAAAGAGAGAACTGTGTTAGCAATACACAGATCTTGAGCATACTGTGTGCCAGTTCTCTGTATTCGACTGTTCCAAACAGTTTGGTTGGTTCTGTACAAGCCTTCACCATTATAATCAAATGATATGTACAGGTAATCTGGCTGTTGGTTCTAAGAACTGAGCTGCTTGGCCTCATATGACGAAAACGACGGGAGTATCTAGTATATATATATATATATATATATATATATATATATATATACACACATATATATATATATATATATATATATATATATATATATATATATATATATATATATATATATATATATGTATGTATGTATATCAAAATGTAAAAGAACGAAGAGTAGGATTTCAGCGTTCAAAATATTAATTTAAAATTGGGCCCAGTACAAAAGTAGAGCAATAAATATTTATTTATTCTGCACTGTTGCATTAGAACATGCACATACCCACTACAAAACTGTACATCGTGTTTCAACGTTGAAAATTTTTTCCATCAGGTGGGAAATCACCCAACTGATGAAACGTTAGAAAAAAATTTTTAACGTTGAAACAAGATTTACAGTTTTGTAGTGGATATGTGCATGTTCTAATGTAACACTACATAATATATATATATATATATATATATATATATATATATATATATATATATATTTGTTGAGAAAATTTCCCAACCCCCAGCCGAGTTAATTATGATCACTTCGTTTGTTAATTTCGCACTTTACTCCAGGGTTCAAGCAGGAATCAATAATTGCGACGGGTGTTCAAGTCTTTGTGATTACCTTTTTATAAAATAATGTGTTACTTTGTTCTATTTCACTCCTTCTCGGATAAACCCGTTTCATTCTTCGATACACGCAATGTATATAAAATAAATGAAAAAGTAAACCGTTTCTTTATTTAAATTCTTCATTGAAGTCTCTTTAAATGGTTTTCTGACCTACCAGTTTTAGAACCACCATTTACTGCATACTAAAAAAAAATTCGACTCTTCCAATTAACCTTTAACATACTGGAGGTGATTTTGCTTTCAAAGCAAAAATTTTATCCTGTCACTGCAAGTGACTCAAATGAATGAATAATAGAGTGTATGAATTTTGCCGTCGTGTTGTCATACCCTGCTATGGCAACAGAAAATGTCCATGACTAAAATTAACTTGTGCTGTAGAGGAGTCTTGAAAACCAATGAAGTGGAAATGACAGTATTTTAATAAAAGACACTTCAGCTTTTATGAGGCACCAAAAAAATTAAGATATTAAACTCATGCCAATTAGAATTTCTTAAAAAAAATGGGGAAAATAACAAATTTCTTTTTCTCTTTTTATTCTAACATTTTTTCTCTTTCGCCATCATTTTTCAGCTTGATTTTAATTTATTAATTCTTTTGTGGGTGGATGGGTGGGAGCAAAGTAGTAGATCCCGCCCTAAACCTTTCCCGTTATATCTACCCCAAAACTCTTGGCAACAAAACATAAAAAGGACCAGACACCAAACTGTTTGTAGCAGTTCTAGTACATTTTCCAAAAAAAAAAAAAAAGAAGATATTTTCATTTTAAAGTAAATAACGTTTGCAGGGCGTGGTCATCACTTTATGACTTCTTGCCCATGTCGCTTTTCAGCTTAGAAAATATTTTTATTTATTTATGTATTTGTTTTCTATAAGATTATTGGGTTGCTGTCTCCATTCCCCTCACAGCTATGGGTTAAACAGTAGGGTGAAAAAGCCTTTAAAAATAGTATGGGTCATAAATCAATGTTAATGGACTATTCCCTTGCAAAAATAATAATTATCCTTATAGTCCAAACTATGTTTCGGCTTTAAATAATCCAGAAAGGGTTGATAAACTTAAAAAAAAGACTAATTAATCAATCACTGTCTCTGTGCCCTCTCCATGTGCCAGTAGTATGTTCAAAAAGATGCTTACCGACGGTAGAAATGGGTGTCAAAATTTCCCGCTGGGGCAAAAAATATTGAATAGTATGCACAGCAATCGTGTGGCAGAATTTGTTAACGTGGCTATTTAAAAGAAACAAAGTATGGAAAACATGGACTTTCGTGCCCACAAAAAAAACGGAGTTTTAAAATGACGTTTTTTCCCTTGACGCCGTTATTATTTTAACTACCTTCACCCCACGACAATTTAAAAAGCGATGATTAGAAATGTAATAAAACCTAAACATATGAAAGCGCATTTATACATTTTCTTTGTTCTGACAAATTGACAACAAAAATAATAAACACTATCTATTTATTAAATGTATATATTCGACTTTATCATATGTTTAGGTTTTATTACAATTCTAATCATCGCTTTTAAAAGAATAAACCTTACAAAGGAGTGAAGGTAGTTAAAATAATAGCGGTGTTAATGGAAAATCCATCATTTTGACACTACGTTTTTTGTCGGGCATGAAGGTCCATGTTTACCGGAAGTACACACACTTACGACATACATGCAACACTTTAACACTTTAACACGCACTTATTATTCTAGTCTCTAATTAAAAATAAATAAAAACATCTCTTCTAAATAATAACTTAATAGAAAAAAAGGATCTTACACCAGTTCTTATATTCTCTCCACACAATCACTAAAAATCGACAACATAGAACAATTTTTCTTTCTTTTTCCTTTTTCGAAACTTTCACTATTTCTCTTGGATTTCTTTTCTATCTTTTTTCCTTTCATTTATTTTTTTTTTTTTTGTTTTTTCACTTTGTTTTTTTTTTTTTTTGTATTACTAATATCGCTGACTGTTACTACATATTTGTATATATATTTTAATATGTGTAAAAATAGATGTTTTAAGAGATTATTTTTGTAAGTCGAATTTTGTGAAAAAAAAAAAAAAAAAAAGAAATCGCCCGAGGCCTGTTTGGTGTTGTAGCGAGGAGTCTCCAGGGTTAATTGGAAGTTTTTTCTCGCACTGTGAAGAAAGGAAGGAGTCTGGTAACAATGAAGTGGATGTTGAGTTTTCTTAATCAGTCATGTATAAAAGGTATATTTAGATATAAAGGGGTTAGGTTATAACCTATCAATTTCAGTATAAACAAACGCACTTTACAGAAATAGCCACCTTACCATATATATATATATATATATATATATATATATATATATATATATATATATAAAAATTCTAATATTAAGGGGAAGTAACTTGTTCTATTTTTTAGGTTTAATTTAATAACTATGTTTATATCTGCCTTTGTTATATATATATATATATATATATAAATATAAAGAGAGAGAGAGAGA